AAAAGGTAGAGGTAGACCAAAGAAGTACCGGGAGAGGTGATTAGATAAGATATGGTACAATTACAGCTTATTGAGGACATGACCTTAGATAGGAAGGTGTGGAATACACAAATTAGGGTAGAAGGTTAGTAGGTTGGAGAATATCCATACTAGTAGTTAGGAGTGCTTGTTGCCCAACCGAGTAGTCCTACGACTACTCTCTTGTTCTCCGATTTCTATGACTATTTGTTATTTCATGTAGTTTGTTTTTAGTAGTCTTTTTGTTGCAGTACTATTATGTTCCTATCTGTTGTTTTGTTACTATCGTTTGTCTATTGTACTTTCATTGTGTCTTTCCTAGCCTGTTTTTTCCTTGAGCCGAGGATCTATAAAAAACAACCTCTTTATCTCACCTCTGAGGTTGACGTAAGGTCTGTGTATACTCTACCCTCCCCAAACCCCATTGTATGGGACTACACTAGGTATGTTGTTGTTGTTGTTGTTGTATGAGGCTTACCTTAAATATATTCTGGCTAGGATGATCACTTTCTGTCTTCATCATGATATCTGTAGGAGTTAGGCCATAGACTTGAAATCAACACTTTCTTGGAAGATAGATGAGGTTGGAGGCATGGTCATATGCTTGAATTTAGACAAAAAAACAAGTGTGCCACTTTGGTTGTGCGAATACATGTCTAAATTGTTGGATTTCAACCAAAGGACATTGGTTAATTACTTTTGTTTATATTCTGTATTTACTGTTTGAAGAAGTCGATAATCCTTGTTTGTTTTTCCATCATAGGGGTTGAATTCCAAATCATTTGGGTTGTATAGCATTTGTAACTCAAGGGACATGCTTTATGGACTTTCAGAGGTATGGTGTTGTTGTTTTTTTAATTTTTGTGTAACCAGGCAATATAAATAATGTTAGAAATTGAGATATTTCTAGATGTCTTTTGTGTAATTGTTATTTTCTTAAATATTATGTTAAGTATGTAAGGGAAAGGTAGTCCTTGTTTTATGGAATATATTTTGTAAGAAAGTCAATAGTAGTTAGATATGTATGGTCCTCTACTAACTTTGGAAAAGCTTATGTAGATATATGTGTGTATGCCTTTCTTAAAAGCTGAATATGAATGGAAATTTCTGCTGCTGAACCTTATTTTTTTTTCTCTAAAAGTTTCAAATCCTAATAGTGGTATCAAGAGCCCTTCTTCTTGAGGGATCTGTGAAGGCAAGAAGGCTAAGGTTTTTTCTTCTTCTAAGGTGAGAGCTGAGCAGCAGTAACATGGCATCCGACAGCTTCTTAGGTGCAGACCCTCCTATGTTTACAGGAGAAAATTATCACATATGGGTGATAAAGATGAAGGCTTATCTCAAAGCTCTTAGTCTATGGGAAACAATTGAAACTGAAGATGATCCTCTTCCACTTGGACCAAATCCAACAGTTGCACAAATGAAGATTTATGAAGATGCGAAGTCAAGGAAACCCAAGGCTCTCACATGTCTTCATTCAGCACTTTCAGATGTGATTTTCACAAGAATAATGGCTTGTGAAACACCTAAAGAAGTATGGGAGAAGCTAAAAGAGGAGTTCGATGGAAGTGACAGAGTGAAGGCTGTCAAACTCTTAACTCTCAAAAGAGAATTTGAGATGTTAAGGATGAAAGAAGGAGATACTGTGAAAGAGTATT